CTAGCTTATTTGTTCGGACCATGCGGTAAAATGCTAAATTAAAACAATTGCACATTATTGGTTTTTTTTTGATAAATGTAATTTTTCAGTAATTGTGAACAATATATATGAACAGAAAAATATAACATATATTATGCATTTTTGATTGAACACTAGTCAGTAACTAGTGTAATGTGTCTAGTCCTATCTTTGGTGCAGACTGAATTCTATCAGTCGAGTTTGTAGTGTGGCCATCATGCTAGGTGGCTCGTCATCAAGGTGCACTGTGAATACAGTCTTACAGGTGGTCAATCGCGAACCGAAATAGTTCAGTTGTAACGTCTCTGGCTGCAAGACTGGGTGACGCGGGTTTGAATCTCAGAAGGGACATGAGTTTCTTCAAGGCTCCAGATACGCCTTGCTGATGAGGGCCAGGTCTAAGGCTTCCTTATGATTGCTTACAACCATCTAATACCAATATATTACGCATACAGATTTTCATATTAACGATAATAAGAATAATCATGGCTGTAAAGTAGGGGAAGAGAGAACAAATCTAGACTGTTTCATGTACTTTATAATGCATAACTTTCAGAATTATTGCTCACTGAGTATATATATATATATATATATGATTATAGCTTGATTCTACACCGTATTTTTGGTACAGGTATAGAATTTTCAGCATGTGATATCGATAGCCCAAATTTTGCCGGTCGACCAATTGATATCAGGTGGGCGTCGGCAAGGGATCGAAACCCGGACCATGTGCGTGGTCGGCGAGAGTCCTAACCGCTGTCGAAATTTTCATTACACTGGAGTGAAAGGATTTAATGTCTCTGTTAATCGATAAAAATATCACACAGGATGAAATGATAGTGTGCACTGAGACTGAGATCACATTGCAATTGAAAACATTGAAGTTACTTCTTCCATGCAAGAGAAAGGAACTGAACGGAAGTGATTGGACGCCTTGCTAAGGATTCAATGAATTATGGTGCATAATTTTATAGGTTATTGCTAATAACCTACTTACTTTATATTGTGTGTTATGTGAAAATGAATGCAAAGTGACTTTTTTTCCCTTCACGTTCCCAGTGAACATAGGGCTTCAAGCTAGTGGCTTGAAGTTTCTGTATAGCAGTGTTTATTTTACAGGATAGGTTTGCTAGCCTCATGCCCAACCTTTCCTCTTTACCAGTCTTATGACTGGCTTGGTGAGGTAGAGGAGTGCTTCGGCCAGGGATCGAACCCCGGACCATGTGGATGGTCGGCGAGCGTCCGAACCGCAGTACCACCGACTTGTCACAGTGACTTTGATAGTTATCATTACCAGAATAAATTATAATTATATTTTAAAAGAGTACACACAATGATAGGGCATTAGAAAAAAAAGTTTCAACAGTTGGTGTGATCAAGGGCAGTAATTTTGCTCAAAATATTATCAAAAACAAAAACTTATCATTATATGTAAACTATTGAAATATAATTATAATTTATTTCACAATGCATAAACTTTTTTACTGACATTAATTGTTACCATAATGCGCATAATATGAAATGACGAATTATATGCCTAAATCAAGTGTGCTGGGTTTAAGTAGCTTGAGAATCACCATGATGACATTAAAATACAAAGCGTTAGACTGAAGGTTACTCAGTACATTTGCACTATTATTATTGTTCCCTTGGGTTCCGAATGGAACATAGGGCATCAACAGCATATCTCCATTTTATCCTACACTCTGCAGTCCTCCGTACCTGGTCCCACATATGTTGATTAGTCTCTTATCTCCTCCTTGTGCGATCCCCTTCATACCATCCTGGGATGCCCTACTCGTCATTTCCCATTCGAGTTTCACTCGAGCATTGATCTGAGGTGCAGTGTCATTCAATGGTCTCCTCAGTGTGTGTCGAATCCATCTCCAGTTTGTTAGCCATATTTTTCGGGCAATAGGTTCCTGCCTGCTTTGTTCCCAGAGTTTCTTGTTACTAATTTCTTCGGGTCGGCCACTTGATCTCCAATAGGGAGCCAGAGAAGGCAGCAGTTGAAAATGCTTTTCATGACACGCAGTGCGTTTCAGATCCATATAGGAGAACTAACTTAAATTGGTGTTGAAAATTCAAATAGTGTTCTTTTGTGCTGAGTTCAGAAAATTTCCAAAATGATTTCAGTGTTGAAGGCGTGCTTCGCCTTTCTAGTTCTGGTATTCTCATCCTCATCCATGAGGCCACCTGTCGTTGAAAGGATGCTTCCTAAATAAATGAAGGCGGTAACCTCTTTCAGATTTCTCCCGTTAATAGCGATTAGTCCTGGTTTTCGCCTTTAGGTCTTCGACTGTGTGTAACATTAGACATAAATCATCTGCGAAATCCAGATCTCCTAGAGTCTTCTTGTGAGTCTAACGTACCTGTGACTGTTCGTTCCTCACAGTCTTCCACACAGTCAAGCACATCACAATTAAGAATATCATCAGTGATAACAGGCAGTCTTGTCTTAATCCTAAGTATATCTTCATAACAAACATTAGTCACCGCCGACACACCATGCTACACAATAATAGGTGAATTCATAGATACACAATGAAGAATCCAGTGGCGTCAACTTATCATTTACGTTTATTTTATAAAGAAAGTGATTTGGAGTTCAGCTGAGAAGCAGTTTGCCTTCAATGACCGAGACAGGTAGTGTTTCGGTATTTCTGCCGTTCACTCGCCACTGAATTGTAGATTCAGAGAAAGAAGGCGTCTTGGTGACAAAAGATATAAGTGATTTAGGTGGTGCAAGCTTCATGAATTTTGTAGTGGAGCGTTATGGGTAGCCAAATTCATTCAGAACCATTTTTAGAGCTGACATCTACCGTGATATTAAGACTGCAAATGTTGCGGATTCAGTGACTTTTTGAGAGGATCAATTTTCATCTTATATGTAGAAACAACCAACTGTAGTTCATGAGTTGTCCCTTTCATGTAGGACTTCTGTTGATGGATCTTTTTAATGTTCCATTGTCAAGTGTTTTGAATCGAACATCTAGAAAGGCTATTTTTCAATAAGATTCCTGGATTGAAGAGTGATAACAAATGAAAAAGCCCAGAATATCTTCTAAATTCTCTTTATTGTCGGTTACAATAAAAGCATAATTCCTCTCTCTCTCTCTTATAAAACCCAAGATTGTTGACCATTTTCTGCAGATATGTTAATTCAAGTTTCTACATCAAGAAACCTTTAAGCACAGGACCTATTGATGAGCCTGCAGCTGTAGCGTTCTTCTGTCTATATTTAAAGCACATCTCAGCACAAGTGTCTTCAAATAATGTATAGTTAGGCCAACGTGTAGTCCCTTAGAATTAATACACCTACATCAGTTAGTGGGGCGTTCTCAGATAGTGAAATCACATCTAGTGAGAACATTATTCGATTAGAGAAGTTGATGTCATAAATACAAATTCAAATGGATCTCGGAGTCATTATGGGAAATTCACCTTCTGATCGGCTTCGAAAGGTTTACTAACCATTTTTATCAAGAACTACGGCATAATCTCATATTTGTTAAAAACTTTTTTTTAGTAATTCTTGGTCATTATCGTCTTGATTTGGTATTTATAGTCTCCGATAGCAGTCAAAGACTGCAGACTTGTTATTGTTGTAAATGAATTACTGTGCAAGTTTAAAGCGGTCTACTAGCACTACTTTAACAAGAAAAACCACCTATAGTCCTGTGCTAATACAAACAATTAATTACAAATGGCTGAAGAGTCCCAAACTAGACTGATGAAACAGCTGTCCAGTACTCCCAGGTTTTCTAACTAATGTCAGCCCATGATGAAGTCCTGTTACGAATGGTTTAAATTAGAAATCAAGTTCACATATTAACCCTACCGATTATTCACAGTAGACTGGAAGAGGGCTTCAAGTACACCACATTTTCAAAACAAGTAAATGCCTTTAACTGGAGAATTGTATTGAAATATTGGCCAATTTATACTTCACTATTGTCTGATGGCATACCTTACAGTTTACAAAAGAGATACGAAGAGATGCAAACCAGATCCCAACGGATGTCAACTAATTGCTATACTGAAAACGGATTATAACTTCTCAAAATTTTGAGGATATTATGCTAATTTAGGATTACTATTCTATTTAAATGCAAACTTCAATGAATTTTGATATCAGTATTAACATTACAAGAGAAATCTACTCACATTCTAAATCTGTGTATATATGCTGATAGTAATTGAAACCACTATTGATGAATTAATTACCAAATTACTTTTGTTCATGTATAATTCCGTGTATTCATAAACCCTTGTAACGATGAAGCGAAGTGTAATTCAATTGAGAAGAATAAGCGATTTCGGATACATGATGAAACAAGTATTTAAGATGCGCTTTTATAACGCTAACAGGAAAGTTCTAATAACAGATAGATTGTAGAATACTATAACGTTTTGACTGTACGGGAACTACTCATTCAACTTTTTCAATTCCCTCTTTTGTTAGTGATCAGAAAGACTCAAATCAAGTAGTAAAGCAGTTTGTTTATTTACACCTTAGCCAGTTTGCTAAGCTTAAGGGTGAACAGAAATATATATATAACAGGCAAAAGTTATGCTAAAAAGCAAATTTTTAAGTATACATCCAACAAAGATTTGGTGGTACAAAAATAGCGCGTAAAAATACTAAATATATACTCATAAAGAAAAGAAAGTGTGTACACAAGTAATCAATCAAAATAAGTAAGAATATTATATTATAGCTAGAAATAAAAAATAAGAAGTGAAAATGCATGATCCATGTTTTAGCAAATAATCGAAGAGGAAATATATCTGTGAATGTGTTCAGATAATGGGGAAAAATCTGTGTGGAAACTAAAAAAAATCACTCAGTAAGTACATTATTACAAGCAAGAATAAACACCACTCAAGCAGCAAGACTGCCCAGGATCCTCTCACATGAGTGTTTTCATTGAAATGAAAATGGCGTTTGGAATCGTGAAGATTTTATTAAACCAATTCAATTAGTGACATATCCTTTGAGTCAAATCATTCTAGGAGTAAAAAATGCATATAACAAAGGCATTAAAACTTTGTGCTTTTTAGAAAACTTCACAAATACAAGTTTCATTGTACAGCATTATGCCTCGACCGACTGCCCATTTGTATTCATTTAAACTCTGGTGGATATAAATTATATATACTGTTTCATCTTATGAATTCAACTGCATTTGATTCTATGCAACATAAGATACCTCCAACTACAACTTCATATGTACCTTAAGTTGGGCTTTGTTTCTCGTAGGACATAGTTCTCCTTAAATAAATACACATACTTGTGTAACCACTTTAGAATTACTGGTGACAGAGGTAGTAGTCGTAATGTTATTAGTTGGTGTTTTGCAGTGATAAGTGTACAGAAGTGTGCAACACAAACACGTAGTAACTAATAGCTACTACTGTTATTCATATGTGTGACGCAATAGAATGTGATGAGATTACACAACTCCAAACAAATATATCTAAATTCATTTCATTACAAACCACTCAGGAGAAGGAAAAACTTTTACAGTAAAATAGAAGTAATGACTAAAATTCAGGCATGGCAATTACGTCTAATTGTAACTCAGGAGACAGACGCGAAACACCATGAAATCTAACAACGAGTGACAGTAAACTTTACAGTATTGCTTTAGGCTTGTTTGGATTTACTACTAAAAGCTTTTATCTATATATTACGGAAATTCATTTTTATGTTGTTCAGTCAGTCACAAATGCGCATAACAAATTATCTACACAACGACTCCGTTTTTGAATTTCTAGACTTAGAAGTTATGTACCAACAGTAGACAAGGGCCAGGTAACAGATCGTTTATTTAGGAAATCAACACGTATTTATAGATTCTCATGTACATATTATAGATTATTGTTAGCAGAAAAACACAGTCTTCTGATTGGTTGTTTCTCACTGAAAGTTAATCTTTCATCTCTCTGACTGTTTCTTGAATGTCAGATCATCTATATGTTAACTGTATCCGCCTACGCAAAGCCTTTGTTCTCACTTTTCTCACGACCAATATTTGGGACATAAACATTGACGTAAATTACTGTTCACCAATTTTGGCTAACAGCCAGCTCTCACCACAGTTACGCTTTATGAACTAGCAATTATCCCTTTCCGATTCTTCAGAGAAGGTAAACAGATATCAAAACGTCACTAGAAAATTGAAGACATCAAGAGTTTGTGTGAAAAAACCACCTTATGAAGCTGTATAAACCCGAATCTATATCTTTAGGGAATTTTGTTACTTAAATTAGTACTCAGTTGTACTTCTACATGACTCATCCAACAGTCGTATAATTAGCTCGATTCAACACTTCAGTGCATTATGTAATTTGTTATAGTCAATTTATTTGATGAACATTGTAGTAAACCGTTTAAGTTCACACAGGAACTGACGTACTGATCCTGCTGCAAGTTAGTCGTGATCTCAACAACAGGAAAATATCCTTGAATTGTTTCGTAAAACCGAAAATAACCTTTGAAGATCTTTGTATCATTATCCAAGTGGACGGTAAAAAATGTCAACATGTGAGTAAAAGGTGATGGATTCCTGTTGCACAAGACAATACACTGAGATAAATTGCAAGACATCAGTTGAAAGAGCAGTAATCCTGTTGGATATTGACGCATGGCGGGTAATAAATACAAGATGTTAACCACTTGGGTGGGATTTACAGCCCAAGACAAATCGTTGCTTATTTCGGTATGGTAGCATCATTAATTACTACTAATTAATTATTAACTAGAGAACAATAACGGTCATTTCTTTAGTCTTCCTTTAAAGATGAATAAAGAACTGATTCAGTTACACAAAAACTACATACTGTGGCATTAGATCAGTTAGAACTCCTTTATTTTTCCACAACCCTCTTTGTAGTCAAGTTGTAGTTGTAGATCAATAGAAAACGCTAAGAAAAAGATTCCAACCCTCAAAGCACATTGGTGACGAAATCCCATGAATTACGAATAATAGTAGTAGCCATATATGCACGGTAATTGATTGATAAAGCTTAGGGCACTTTAGGCCTAACATTTACATATGTAAATTAGTCTACGTGTTTGTAGTTAACTAATAAGAAACATTTCAGCCAGTCATCTATGTTATGGTTGTGATACAAGGGAAAATTCAGAGAGCGCAGTAGGAAAACGACATGATGTGAACAAACGTGAACTTACTAAAGGTTCTAGCTCCTTCCTATCAATGAGGTCAAAGTGAGTCACGAAGTAGTAAAAATGTTTATAACAAGTGTTGACATGAGCTTCCTGAAAAATCAATTAAAGGTGATAAAACATACCGCTCCTATCTCATGCAACCGATCAAAGTGGTGTATGTAAACATGCACAAACACTCTAAACAGTCTTCCGAATATCTTCTTTACAGTTGGGATATAGCACTTAGGGAAAGGAACACCTATAATTTTATAAAAGTTATGAAATGCATTACCAATATCTGTAGGAAATAGAGATGGGTCATTAATTTGTGCATCAATCCAGTCCATCAACTCGTCAATGTACTTTGGAGCTGGTAAGGGCGTAGGTTTTTTATAATGTACATTATCACGCCAATGGTACTCAAATTTTTTGCCCCCAGACATAGTAGGACACGTTTGTTCAGTACACCGATCACATATTGTGCCGTAAATAAGATTTATACGATTATAGAAATCGACGACTATAATAGAAGCTTGAAAAACTACTGAATGTACCATGCACAGCTATCCAGTCATTCAGTTCTTCATCTTCTGGCTTTTTTACAGCTTCTCGTAGATCGATGCCTGCACTTAACGAAGCTTCGGCGTGCTTGTGAAGATGATATCGTATTGTGTCTGGTGCAAACTTCTTTTTCGGGCGAAAAGTCTTTTAAAATAAATACAATCACAATCAAATAATACCTTCTGCTTTACAAATATCTCTTTGAAACCGTTGAAGGCCATTTTCAAAACATCCGTGTGACCTATGTAGGACGAACTAGGTCACCCAAAATTTGTTCAATCCCCAATTTCATGCTTTTGTGGTAAGGTCTAAATGATGAACGAAAATTGTCATTTATCATATAAATTCCACATACTTAAAGCGTAAATATTTCGTTCGCATGTTAAGTTCTGAATTATACCCTGGAAATCGCGTCATCGTAATGTTAGAAATTAATGTGACTGAATAGACCATATACAAATATTTATATTGTGTAACCCATTACTTTCATTTGCCATTCATTACTGAGTAAAAGTGTGATCATCCAGTCCAAGATATTTCAAGCGAGGGAGCCACCGGAACTGATGCCTTCCACCTCTATGGTGGTACACGGTGTTCCGGAGCTGGAAACCGGCACTGCTTGTGAAAAACACATGCACGACGTACAACAATGGAGATGGCTGTCATCTCAGATGGCCCCTGGCGCTTCTGGAGCCATCTCCATTTTCCGACTACCTCGTCCCGCTCATCTAACATTGATTAACTCTCCAAAGCTGCTGTGTGTCACATTCAACTCCCCGGAGCAGTTGTCCATATCACTTCAACGGTGGTATGAGACCAAGGGAAAAATTGGAGGACACATCCGATGCTGTGAAAGCAGACCCAGAAATATAAGGAGGCAGCAAACTGAGGCTTTAATACGACCCCAAGCTTCGGTGACACTAGAGCGATGCAGCTCTGAGAATAATAGTCTGTGTCTCCCAAGTGTCCTGCCTAAATCCATTGGAAAAAACTACAACGGGCCGGTTCTATCGGAATCGGCCAACTAGTTCCAACATCAAGTCCCCCACCAGCAGACGGTTTCACGTCAACTACCCCACAACACTCTGAGGTTGTTAGACTCACTGTCAGTTGCCTATATAGCAATGTGAGGGGGCTGAGAGGGAAAGTAGGTGAACTTCGAAATCTCCAAGCACACCTTCAACTGAAAATAATCATTCTTACTGAAACGTGGCTAAACCCCACTATCGCCGACAATGAAATCAGTATAGGTGATATGGTACTGGTCAGGAGAGACAGGGATAATAAGGAAGGAGGGGGAGTTGCTATATACTTTGATAGGCAACTTAAATGTGTGCGCGCAACGGACCCACCACTTATCGAACTCCCAGACTCCATATGGTGTCATTTCACCGTAGGCCACACCAAGCACTTACTGGGTGGCATCTACCGATCTCCCACCTGTGGGGCAGAGCACAATCAGCTACTGCTCAGCACTATCACAGGAATACGAGATTTGGGCTACGACCAAATCACCATAGCTGGAGATTTCAATGCTCCATCACTGAACCTTGGCTCCGGGTGTGCTAAGGGAAAATTTGGCCGAAACCTACTGCAAACTATTCGAAACACGGGACTGACTGAGAATGTTGGAGACGACACTAGGTGGGGCCCTAGTGGAAAGTCATCAAAACTAGATTATATTCTAACTAGTGACCAGCTACTCGTCGAAAAGGTCCAGATCATGACTCCTCTGGGAAGCAGTGACCATGCAGTCATAGGTTTCGATCTTGTCCTCCGTGAGCGTTTGCAATGGGATGTTACGCGACCATGTCTGTGCTACAGCAAGGCTGACTATGCTGAAATGCGGAGGCTCTTGTCCGACGCAGACTGGCCCTTAGCATGGGACGACCTATCTGTGGATGAACACTGGGAAGTGGTAAAAAAGATTATCCATGCAGCAATCTCGGATACCGTCCCTTTAGTCACAACACAGCCTAAGAGAAAGACGTCATGGTTGAAGAGAGGCACGCAACGTATTCTGCAAGCAAAGCGGAGGGCTTGGTTTACGTGGCGTGTATCTAAGAGTCAGACCGACCATGATGCATACCTCGAACTCAGGAACCGGTGTAATGCAAGAGTTAGGAGGGACAGAAGGTCATTCCAGGCTAACCTTGCTAAAAAACTCCTATCAAACCCTAAAAACTTGTACCGATTCATGTCGGAAAGAAAACCGACAAACCAAGGGGCATGCGCCTTAGTAGGCCCAAACGGTCAATATCTCACTAGTCTGGAGATGGCTGAAACATTCAGTTCAGCCTTCGCTAAACAGCTAAACAGCAATGTGGATATTACAGTTACGGACCAAAATGGTGGCACCACTATTTCAGAGGAGGAAGACCTAGCGACTACTCCCCAAATAAACCCCGCAATAGTACTAAGGAAGCTACAGCGACTCATACCTGGGAAGTCCCCAGGTTGTGATGACATCAGGCCATCTGTTCTGAAACAGTGCGCCGAGGCTCTCTGTAGACCCCTGTGCGACTTGTTCCAACACTCAATGGATTCGGGGACCCTGCCAAGGGAGTGGAAAAGAGCCATCCTTTCTCCAATCTTCAAGGGTGGGGACAGGCAAAACGCTGCTAGCTATAGACCAGTAGCTCTACTCCCAGTGGTATCAAAAGTACTGGAAAGTATTATTGACGACCACATCAGGGAATATTTCGATAGGACTAATATACTGCATGAAGCCCAACATGGTTTCAGAAAAGGCAGATCCTGCGTCACTAACCTACTGTCAGCTTGGGACGACTGGACATCATGCTGGGACTTGAACGTACCAGTCCATGTGGTCTTCCTAGACTTTGAGAAGGCATTTGACACTGTTCACCATGACCTTCTCCTACATAAAATAAGACAGGCAGGCATAGGTGAGCCACTTCTGTCATGGTTGAAGGACTACCTAGCCGACAGGCAATTTTGCACTAAGGTTAACCGAGTCCGATCATCTTGGCACAGATCGTCATCAGGAGTGTCGCAGGGTTCTATCCTAGGACCACTGATGTTTTTGATTTTCATCAATGATCTACCACGCCGTCTGAGCTGCCCGACTCTCCTGTACGCTGACGACGTAAAAATATGGAGGGCGATAAAGTGTCCGGAGGACTCAGATAGGCTACAGGAAGACCTAAACCTTCTGGAAGACTGGGCGGTGGCCAGTGGCATGACTTTCAACTTGAAAAAGTGCAAAGTAGTGAAGTTGCGCACCTGTAGACTGCAGAATGCAAGTTACACCCTGTGCAATGAAAGCTTGTCCTGCACAACGTCGGAACGCGACTTAGGTCTAGTTCTAACGGAAAAAATGGACACAAGCGTAAATTACACAGGGGATGTAGCGAGGGCATATGCGGTCATACACTTTACGCATAGACAGTTAGGTGCACTCACTCCTGAGCTCTTTCTAATGTTGTACAAAACATACGTCAGGCCACACCTTGAGGTGCATAATATTATTGCACCCCCAATGCTGAGAAGAGATGCCAACCTCTTGGAAAGAGTCCAACGACGGGCAACAAAAGGAGTGGTTGGTCTCCGAAACAAACCATATGATGAAAGGCTGAAGAAATTAGGCCTGTTCACACTTAGTTACCGTCGGCTTAGGGGGGATTTGATTACTGCCTACAAAATAACAAATGACCAGAATCACCCAAACAAAGGTGTTCTGCCATTGAGTAGGTATAGGCTTCCACGTGGAAATCCCAGAAGGATAGCTCACCAGAGGGCAAGGACCCGGGTGCGCTCCCACTTCTTTTCACTGCGGGTTTGTCGTCCCTGGAATTCCTTACCGGCAGATGTAGCTATGGCACCGTCTTTGGACGCCTTTAAGCGAAGGCTGGACAACCATGCAGCGATACAAGGACTGCATCCAAATGGCCTATCTCCTTAAAATCGCATTTACCAATCAGGGTAGATAATTAAACTCGTCATTTTACTTCTTTACATTCTCTCCCGTCTTACTCTCCTGACAACTTATTAATATTATAATTACTATTATTATTATTACTATTACCGATATATATATTATTCTTCAAACTTCATGAGCTGACTGTTGTTACGTTTCCTATTTTCGTTTCTGTCTCTTAGTCTGAATAGCTTCACTAATTATATCTATTATTATTATTATTACTATCTCTTTTCTCTTGTCGACAATACCGAAGGACTAACTGGCGAAAGGATCAACTCCAATCACAGTAGTAACAGTCTTAACATACCTCATACTACAAACCACATATAATTAATCCCAGCACTACTCCCTTTGGAGTCAACCAAAGCTACGACAGTCGAGTGGCGGGACAAGCTACGCAGAAGTTTACCGAAGATCAAGAACCTATACCTCACAATCAAGAGGCGAGCACAAAGAAATCAAATTGGTTTATACTAGCTCGTAAAAACGATATTGGATATTGGATATTGAAGTCTTTTGTTAGATTTTCTTTCTAAATAAGGGATTTCTTTTGCTATCGGTATAGTACTTTTCTCCTATTTACAGCATAGGCATCACTTCTGGGCGAAGTTCAAGAATAGCATCTCAAGAGTGCAAACGCTCAGATGACCTTAAATGCTTGCTGGTCGTTAGCTGGGGAAACTTACCATTATTCTAGCGCGAAAATGAACACTGTTCATCTGCTCAGATGATTCTGTTCCATTATATCATACGTGGTGCCAAATTCAGTAAAAAATGTCCTCCCGTACCCATAAATCGAGCGCCCATCTGAGAAATGGAACAGCGGCGCAATATTTCTAACAGGATACGGAAACTTTGAATCGTAGGACTAATTCAAAGCTCCCAAATTTAATTTTTTCTAATTTTTGATTACAGCTTGATTCCATACCGTATTTTTTGGTACAAGTATGGAATTTTCAGCATGGATATCGGTAGCCCAAATTTTGCAGGCCGACCATAGATATCAGTTGTGCGTCGATAGGGGATCGAACCTCGGACCATGTGCATGGTCGGCGAGAGTCCCAACCACTGTGCCACAGACGCAAAATTAAAAAACAAAATCAAAAATTAAAAATTAAAAAAATTAGCCCCACCGACGGCACGAATGGACAGAAAGTGACCACCATCAAAGTCAGATGGAGGAAAGGATACAAGTGAATGGCATGATACAACCTCTCACAACAATCCGGATATAACTCTTAAACAAGAAGTATCGTCACTGGAGGATGGAACCATGCA